GTATTGCAGCTCATTTGCATGAATGTCTTTGATATGCTAACCCAATTATGATAAGAGAAGTGATAAGGAATATAATGTATAAGTGATGCTGATAATGGGATTGGAATCACTAAATTCTTATCAGTTCCCACTTTCAACACTTTCATTACTCACTTGAGAGAAACAGGAAGTTTATTTACTGTTAACTTGATCAGATGAACTATTTCATGTCCTGCTGGTCTCAACCAAGTGTTATGAAAACCAATCAAATCACTGAGAAACCAAGGTAATTTCATCATTGTAGAAACCTTATTAAATATAATTATTATCAATATTAAGCTCTGAGAACTTAATTTGTAACCTGGATGTGCAACTTACATTTAATGTTGCTTTATTGTTTTTTGCTCAGACGATACAACCAGAACCTGTGAGGTGATGTCCTGCTAACATTTGTTCTTGATCGTGTGATGTCGTGTATTCTTATCCTGCACAGAAACTGAACAGTAGCAGCAGATGCATCTTGTACAATGAGTCTCTTCTCTTAAGAGAATAATGTACATTTTGTACGTGCAAAATAAATGAATACAACTGCAAATAGAAACTCTTAAAACAAACAGGAAAGAGTTGAATGTGTAACTTTTATTTGCATCAATACAGCATTCAGAGCTGGATTTACTGGTCTGTGTTAGATCATTGACCTGCTGCATAAGTGCTCTGAAGTGTCAGACCTCAAACCGATGGCCAACGTTTCCCTTCAGGATTTTCTAGTAAAGAGCAAAATTCCTGGATCCATCAGTAACAGAAAGTTGTCCGAGCTCACAGTACCACCACCATGTTTGACTGTTGTATGATCTTTTTATTGTTGTTTTGTGAGTCCACAGAAGACTTTTCCAGAAATGTTGAGGATCATCAATGTGTTTTTAAAATGAGACAAGCCATCATATTTGTTTTGTTGAGCAGCGGTTTTGTCGAACTCTGCCATGCAGGCCATGTTTGCCCAGTCTCTTTGTTGATTAATGAGCTCAGGCATGTGAGGATGAGTCGCTAATGCCCTCTTGGAGTAATTTTGACACGTCAGCCACTCCTGGGAAGGTTCACCACTGTTCCAAGATTTCCCATTTGTGGATAATGGCTCTCAAAGGAAATCACTGGAGTCCTAACGTCTTAGCAATGGCCTTGTGACTGTTTCCAGACTGATTGGTTTCAAGTACTTTGT